ATATTTATGCATTAAATCATTTTGATTTCTTGTTAAAAAAGTTTCAATCCTAGTAATACTAGCTCTAGCATTTTTTCTATCAGCAATAAATGTTTTTAGTTCTTCCTCCATTTTTATGAACTTGAATAATTAAACAAAATTTAAGTTTAACAATCTTTTTTGACTTCAATTCAATGAAATGAGTTTAGTTTTTTATTTAAATAAAAAGTGTCTTTTTGTTCTATCAAAAATTGTCTTTTTATTCCATTGTGTCTGCTAAAGGACAAAACTTGTCGTGAAGCATTGACACATAGAAAAAACTCGACGTTATCAATCTCAACTCAACATAGATTAATAAAAACAATGGAAAGCTCTGACCTTAGTCCTCGTAGAGATTCACAACTCCAACTAGGTAGGTATTTCAGCTCCAACACTCCGAACAAGGAATATGTAGGTACACACGTACCGTACAACCAATCCAAAGTTCTCTTACACAAGTATACTCTTACACAAGAGTATGTACAGAACCGACGATTACACACGAATCGAATCCGACACTCGAAAGGATCAAATTTTATGTTAACACATAAAAGCTTCAATAGCTCATTTTTACCCGAGAGGTTATGTAATAGAAAATAATTACGAAACACCGGGTTGTTCTTTATAAAAGTGGACTGTATTAACTTTTCAAAACATTACGATGACAATCGGCAATAAACAAAGTTACATTTTTTATTGATTGTCTGTATTTTGTGCAATAGCAATTTCTTGCTAATTAATTAAAATTTGGACGCGACTTCGCGACGCCGCTTCTTCAATACGGCGGGTAGCACAGTACCTATTTATGCGATAGCCAACTCACGACTGCCCTAGGAATTTATACAAAAATGGCGCTTCCCTTAAAATATCTAGGTGTGGACGAGTCCATTATTGGAATTTGGGGGGAAGAAGCATATTAAAAAACTTGTTCCTTCTTGTGGGTTTTTTTATGTTTTGGGAGAATTGATATTGCACCAATACTTGTAACCAATACAATAAGGATAGATTGCACCATAATATAAATAATAATATCAAAATCAGGAATAATTATTAGAAAATCCAACAATTATATTTCAAATGAACATGTTAACACCACGCGACACGCCACCTCAGTGTGAACTTGTTCATTTGAAATATAATGTTAAAATTATTTTTGAGCATCACTATAGCGGCATTGCTCACCGCTCCAGCGGTGTCAATGTGAACGCGCACTTAAGTAGGTGCCGGTGGTAGAAAATTTTTTTGTGTGCCACGCCCAAAAGCAAAAAGCATACATTTCGAGCCTCAAATTGAACGTTTTTGGGCGTTTAGAGTTAAAAAAAACTTGTTTGGACAACATAACATATTTGTTTTCTATGAGTTGTTTGAATGCGGGTGAGTGGTGATCAATAATGACAAACACTATCCCAAACTAAGTAGGGCCTGGCTTGGACCTAGGTACAATAGTGAAAAATAGGGCCCTGTGGAAAATCAAGACACCCCAGTCCCTAGTCGTAATACTTACCTACATAACATACCCACCTGCACTTGGAAATCTTTGGTATAGTTTTTCCAAAGTTATTTGGAACAAGGTGAACATAAATTATAACTGGTGGCTGACAAGTGGCTGTGTATTTCTTATGGAAATTTTTCGGTGACTAGTCAGCCACCAGTTGGTACCTTGTTCCAATTTAGTTTGAAAATACTATACCAAAAAAGTTGGTAATATTGTTAGCGGGAGTATTCATGTAGTTCTGTTGGACGATTAGTAATTATTCTTGCAGAATTAGGTGAATTGGGAACAAAAATAAACATTTTGAAAAAAAAAGCAGAAGTATTTAGGAAATATAAAAAATTATGCGATCTTAAGATAGATGTGTAAAGAGTTAAAACAATATGCGTGAGCCTACACATTGACTGCGTGCACTAAACTGTCTATTTATGCTATCAGGACATCAGGAGATCGGGGTTTATTTTCATTTTTCAGGAGTTTTTTAAAGTTCAGCTTATTTCTTTATTAGAAATAGTTTTATTTTGAGAAATTCGTAAAAACTTTCACTTGAATCTTGAATGACAGAATTATAGGCGGCCTGCGGCCGCCCCTAGATTTGGCCGCCCGCGTGCGGGGCACGCGCTGCAGACCTGCTAGGATCGGCCCTGGACAGCAGTCAACATGAAACATTCCATAATGCAAATGGTTTTCTGAGCAAAAAGTCAACAGCCACCAATTTATGTCACATTACACAATACATATCTGAGGATCTAGACAGCAAATGCTAAGTTGATGTGATATACACCAATTTTGCAAAAGCCTTTGATTGGGTGTCACACAATGTTCTCTTAAGACGGTTTTACACTAACAATTTATTGATCAAGTCGCTTGTCAAGAAATATTGATAATGTAAAATGCCAACTTGGCGACAATTTAACTTGTCCAAGTTCTTGCTCAATTTATTTACGGATTAGCGCATGTTCTATTTTTTTGTCAATTTTTGTGTCAATTCAGGCTTTCAACCTAGAAATGACACTTTAAAAATATTAAAGCGAGGTGAGGATAATTATTTTTATTCATCATTTGCTTGTTGATGTTCAGTTTATTCTTCTATCTTCAGTTTCTTCTAGTTTCATTATTAAACATCCTTAAATATATTGCTGAGTGAACCATAAATAAAAACTTACCTAACCTTGAAATTCTGGTTAAGTTTGTAGAATTGTTTATTGTCATTTCTGTTGTCAACAAGTTGAGCCGGTGTAATGCGAAGTTGAGCCAGTGTTAAGCTAACATAAGTTGGCAAATAAATTGGCAAATAAATTTATCAATTTAAATTGTTAGTGTAAAACTAGCATTAGAAAAACTCCATGCAGAGTTCGGGTTCAGTGCTAATTTTATAGATTTCTCACTACTCAGATACTTTTGTGGCGACTTCAGGTATTCCGCAGGGATCAAACCTTGGAAATGACTAATGGTTAGTTAAGCTCTCTTCAAAAATATAAAAAAATCTTCCCTCGGCAAAATCATCCCCTATTAACAACCCTTCACTTTTTTTTTTCAAATGGCACCCTTATTTTATTTTTTTTTATTTTTTGAGAAGTTCATGAAATTGCAAATCAATGATGTATGAAAACTTTGTTTTTCCATGTTTCGTTGGAAAAAAAAAATCAAAAATGAAAATAATTATAATGGGGTTGTTTGGGACTTACGTTTTATCGTATTGTAATTTGGGTAATTTAAACGCAACTTGTAGTATATATGTCTTAAATTTGAAGTGTAAATTTCAATTATTAATTGTGCGTGAGAATGGCATTTCCATGGACTCTTCGCGCGGTACCGTAAAAGAGAGCAAGAGTGCGCTCTTGATTAAATAAGGACAGAGAGATGTAGTAGCCGAAAATATGTGCTGTCGCTGTCCGAAAGATGAGAACGATTTTTGCCGGCAATCAAACCAGAACCAAATACCTATTTTAGTGCATAAAACCCACGCAGTTTCGGGGTAAGTCCTTTATTGGTTTTGCCATTTATCGATTTTTGATAACTTTTTAAAAATACAGTCCACTGATTAGCTCGTACAGGGGTTCTATTTGAAAAAAAAGGCATGAGTTGTTTTTAGGGGATGAGTTTGTTAGGGAAGATTTTTTTAATATTCTTGAAAAGGGGTTAATTTGCACACAATTAATTTTTTTTTTGTCATATTTCTATTTTTGTAGACAAAAATGTGATTGCCTGTATAAGACTAAGGGTGGGACACCCATTTTTTTTTCCCCAAGAGACATGGAAAAACAAACTTTTTATACCCTATACAAATTTGTAATTTCATAAGCTTCTCAAAAAAAAAATAAAAAATAGGTGTGCCATTTGAAAAAAAAAAGTCAAGGGTTGTAAATAGGGGATGATTTTTTCAGGGGATGATTTTTTTATATTTTTGAAGAGAGCTTATTAATTAGCCATTAATAATTTTTTTTGTTTCAAAATATCAGCAAATGTTACGTTGTTTACTTTACTGAGAAAAAAAAATAATTTAAAATTTCAGTATAAGATAAGCGAGACGGTATTGCAAGAGGTTGATGAAATGCGGGATCTTGGAACTATATTTGACTCCCAATTAGGCTTTAAGCTACATGTTTCTTATATAATCAATAAGGCTCTTAGAATGTATGGATTTGTAGTACGGAGCTGTAGTATGTTTCGAACCACATACTGTATAAAAAGATCATATTTATGTGGCATAATATGTTAGAAGTATTTTAGAGTACTGTTCAATGGTATGGAATCCATAATATAAAAACTACTGTACAAAACAAATTTTTAAGATACATACATTACAAAGAAAGTGGTGACCATCACTCTTTGGAAAGTTGCTGGTGCGTTCTTCAATCCAAAGAGCATTCTGTTGAATTCGTAATGACTATTTTCAATATTAAATGCTGTCTTGGATATCAAATTTTCACGACTTGATGAAAGCCAGAAGCTAAATCTAGTCTCGTAAAATAATTACTACGACCAAATCAGTCTAATGTGATATTAGGTAATGGATATCTTTCATCAATAGTTTTTATATTTATCTTTCAATATTCAAAAACTATTCTCCGTTTTTGTATGCCTGCGGCATTTTCTTTCTTAGGTACTATCCACACAGGGAATAACCAGGGACGTGAATTATGGTGTCTTCTAACATTTTCTGGATTTGTTTATTCACTTCTTGTTTATGCACATGTGGATATCTATACGTTTTCGTGTGCACTGGCACACATTTTAAAGGTAAAGCTTTGATTACATGTCTTAAAAGATCAAATTCCTCTGATTTTGAATGACTGCACTTAAATCAATCTCAGGCATAAATAATAAAGTCAAGATTTCTCCACCAACGGGTAGCAGGCTATCGCTAACACATTCAACAAAAAAATTGCATCTTTACATAAACTTTTACCCACGAAAGACACAAAATACATAATCACAAATAACCCCCTACTATAATACAACATAATAATCCATCATCATTCATCAGATCCAATCAAGCTGCTCGAGGTTTGTTCAGGCCCCGCTTCTTACACCCTTTGTACGCCAGCGTCAACCCGTTCGACTCAGACCTGGACGATCCTCAGCGCGAGCAAATGTACGACAGTGACGTTATCACAACCGTAACGCCCAATCACAGGATCCAAGCTTGGGACATTTCCAATTGGACCGTACCATCCATCAGCAATTGTTAGTAGTTTTTCAATTGTATATAACATCATTTAGTTAATTGTGTTTTCTATTATTTCTAGCAATTAAAAATGTAATTGTAAGCGAATGCAGGATTCACAATGACGCAAGCGTCGATATTGCAACTGACGGGACGATTTTAGTTACTCTGTTGCCTTCCGGAGGATATTTGAATGTCACCAACCGTTTAGGTATGATTTTATAATTGCTTCAATAAATAAAATACATATATAAGTATTGAAATTATTTTATAGGAGTCTACAGTTTACGTTGGGAAACTTTGGGCCAATGTTTGTATACAACAAGTTTTGAACAAAACGCAGTTTCAGTCTCATTGTCACCTTTAAGTCGTCATCTATTGGTTGGATTTGCTTCTAGAAGAGTTTCACTTATGCCCAGTGATCGATGGGTAAGAATTTTTCATGTTATAATAAGTTTAAAATTTATTTTGTAATATTCTATCCAGATTATGGCCAGAGTATATAGGATTGATCAAAAAGACGTGCCCGGAGATAGATTGCCAGTATTAAGAGAATTGGAACAATCTAGGGAGAATCGTATTAATTGCATTAGATGGCTGCCGACTTCCGGACAGGGTCTGATTTATGCGACCAATACAGGCCAATTGGTTATTTTGTCTTAAATTTAATTTTGCTTTTTATTTTTTTCTGCTTCGCTTTGATATAGGTTTAAGCGAATGATATTTGAATGACTGATTTTTATTTAAAATTGCTTTTAAAAAACACTTTTTTTTTGTTGCTGTGACAGTGTTTGTTAAATGTATTAGCTTTGTTCCAACACAGCAAGAAACCGTACAACGTACCGTCACGATTCTGAGCAAAACCTAAAATTCGACGGTTTTTTGACGTGTTGGAACAAACCTATTATTACAGTGATATTGTTTTAGTAATAAGTATTTCTTTATGTAAGAATTAATTGTTTTTTTTTTTTTTCGGTTTAACTTAAGGGTGCTTTTTCTTCTTATTTTGTGCTTTTTTTATCACTGTTTAATATTACCCTCGTGTAGTTGTTTAATATAATCATCAGTCAATGTATAACTAGAATTCTAGAATGAAGTTTAATTTTCCACAAGAAAGAAAAAAATGGTTGATTTTCTTAGTTTTCTAATTGTAGCATTGGCTGAAATTTTGTTTTAAAATTTAATATAGCTATTAAGCATTGTATATTCGTAATAAATGAATAATATAGTTTAGGTCATTCATTTATTTTGTGTTTTATTTCTTTATGCCCAGCCTTAAATTTTGAAGTAACAACATAATAAAAGAACCAGAATACAAAGGTCTTGGCTGTGCAACAGGCTGGACTTCATCTCTCGTCTAAATTATATCAGATACATAAGCGCAACTAGGCTCCAAATTTGAGGGGTGCTGCAGCACCATTTTTTGTTTTTTTTTTTTTCATTTCTTTATTTATTTTTTTTTGAAGTTTGATGGAAAGAAAATGAGGCGCGTAAAAGGTTAGTTTCACGAGGGTTTGTACTTACGTCATCATTTGCCTTTTTTTTTTAAAAAATAGGTTTTTTTAAATGTCTGAAATTTCGAACAAACATATATAGGTTTTTTACGTTATATTTAGGATGACGTCACATTTAGTAAATTTCTTCTGCCAACCTGAAAAAACTGAAAGTACTTTTTAACGCATTTAAAGTAGGGGAATTTCAAAAGTTTTTGTTTGGTAATGGCGCGCGACGATGCACGATTTATATTTAAAAAAATATAAACTTTTTCATATAATGCCTGTCGACTCATTTCTTTATTTTTAGTTGTCACTGTTTTTGTCAATTTATTATTAACTATTTTGTATACTTAATTCTAATTAAGTGCCAAGAATATACAGTTTAAAAAAGTTCTTCTAAGAACTCGGTACTTTTTCGTAACGCGTGAACTAGGTAACCTCAGAAAATGCCTAAAGGTTTGTCGAGTCAGTCAGTCGCAGGAAATGGTAGCAAACCTAATATCGTATTTCGAGCAGGAACGCGATAATGGAGGACCATTTTTGCCTCTTACTGCTGGGAGGGATGTAAGTAAATTACCTATTTTTATTATATAGGTACCTATTTATTTGAAAGTATAAATTAAAATATTTTTCTATGATAAATATGATAATAAAATGATGTCTTTTTAGCGAGTTGTAGTTGCAATAAAATTAAGCCGTTGTACTGTCAATAGCATTGCAGCGAAATGCCGTAGAGGAGAACCACTAAAAAGTCCATCAAAAAAACGTAATCGCACAAAAACTGTTGTTAATATTAATGAGTTTGATCAAATTGCAATCGGAAATGTTATCTACGAAATGTATAACAATAGTGAGTGACTAAATTGGCTCTGTGTCATTTGAACGACAACCATTTGCGCGAAGGACAAAAACGCGATAGGACAAAAGCACGATGGGCAGAAACGCGACTGAAATAAAATGGCTGGATAACAGCGCGAGGGACAAAAATGCAAATGGACTTCAAGACATTATAAAACTTACCCATAAAAACCCGGTTAGTTTGTAATTTCAGTCAGAGATTTCCAAACTTACTCATAATAACCCGGTTAGTTCGCGATTTTAGTCAGACATTTCCAAACTTACCGATAATAACTCGGTTAGTTTGGGTTGGCGTGACGGAACAGAAACGCGCCGATAATTATAGACACCGTCGTGCTGTATTTCAGTCACGTTTTTGTTCCTCGCGCTTTTGTCCAGTCGCGTTTTTGTTCCATCGCGCTTTTATCCCTCGCGCTTTTCGTATCGCGCTTTTCTCCCTCGCGCAAATGGCACAGAGCTAATTGAATTATATTTTGTTGGTGTTCAAATACATCTTTATTAACATTATTACAGAGACACATATTACTTTGAAAACCTTACGAGATAAACTAATTGAACGTGATATTGCTTGTGGCTGCTTGACATCATTATGGAAAATTGTGAAAAATATTGGCTTCAAATATAGCAAAGATGATCCACGACGTGGGCTAATGGAATTGCCAAGTATTGCTCTAAAACGAGTTAACTTTTTGAGAGAATATGTTCGACTCAAAAATGGAGGTTTGCGACAATTTGTTTTTCTTGATGAAACATGGATTTTCCAAGATGGTACTATTGTTCGTTCTTGGCAGGATTCAAGTACCAAGAGTGTAAAGTTGGTGGCAAAAGGTAAATTTTCATATAGGGTTTTCCATCGAACAATGCTGTTAATATACTTACCTACGCAACTGCTTCCCTAAGTGAAAAATGCTATATTGATAATTTCTGCCTATGTTTTTGTTTTAAATTTTATATCCTATATTCTTAGCTTTTGTTATGGCAAAAATTTTGACAATTAATTTGTTTTTAATTATTGTTTTAGATATGTTATTCTGCACGCTGGTTGCACTAAAGGATTTATACCTGGTGCAGAATTGATATTTTCTTCAAAAACTCGAGATGCTGACTATCATGGGGAAATGAATTAAGAAAATTTTCTACAGTGGTTTGAGTATCAGCTGCTGATAAATTTGGAAGAACCTTCAACTATAATAATGGATAATGCTAGTTACCATAGCACTTTGGTGAATAAGGCCCCTACAACAGCAACCAAGAAAGATGATATTCAAATGTGGCTCAAAGAAAATAATATTCACTTTGACAGCACTTTTTTAAAACAGCAATTATTGAATTTAGTCAAAACGTAGGGTGACGTAGGTTTGAAAGAAGTTTAAATAATTATTAAACATTTTGTTTTTTTTTTTGTAGAAATAAACCACAGCCAGTGTACAAAGCCGACGAGCTAGCTGAAAAATATGGTCATCACGTTCTTCGTTTGCCTCCATACCATTGTATTTTCAACCCTATCGAACATATTTGGGGTTTCACCAAGAACTATTATAGGGATCATATAGGAGAATTTGGTAGTTCAGCAGAAAAATCACTAGAAACGTGGAAAGAAGCTCTAAAACAAGCAACTCCTGAAGTATGGGCAAAAACTGTAGAACATACAGAAAAAGAAATACAATGTTGGTGGGACAGAGAGGTTTTATTTGATCGAGGAGATATTCCACCACTTATTATTGATTTTAATGGCAATGATAGTTCTGATGATAGCGATAGTGACCAGTGACCAGTAAAACATACACTGAAAAAACAGAGGATCTTGGCCCAAAGTCCCCAACGCTCTTGAGCTGGTTTTTAACGTCACTTACTGTAGACAAGCAGTCAAAAAGGTTTATTACCCTTTCAGCAAAAAGAGCTGAACAGCTCCTAAACATAAGCAGACTAGACATCAGATTGGTGGTAGGACTGCTTGGTAAAATACCATTTAAGGTTAATGGACAGAGCAGAAGACAATCTCTGCAGATTCTGCTCAGACGCAATAGAGACCGCACAGCACGAATGTCCAGCCCATTTCTGCAAGAGTCTCAAATTCCTCGAGGGGGAAACACTGTCATCAGAAGAAGTGGGCCAGCTGACACCCAGGAAAATAGCTTCGTTCGGCAGAAGTCTACGCTTCCTGAAGACAACTTAAGATGTAGAGTCACGTACAAAATATCTGCAAGGGTAGCAGTGCTGAGCGGCTGAATCAGTTACTACATCGCGTACATCTACAAATCTAGAAATCTACAATCTACTGTAGAGAAGAGAAAATATGTTGCTTCGAGGGAATGTTATTTGAATTAAGATCATTTATATTGGGACAAGAGAAATGGCTCTCTTAAAGTAAAAACGATTCTTGGATGTATTTCACAGCAGACAAAATCGAAAGCTCTTGTTTCAAAATTGCGGAAATTAAGCATTTCATTCAAGAGATAAAAGTTTTGAATTTATATCCAAAGCTTTTGATTCAAAATCCTTGCCGCTATTGGGAAAATACCGCGTCATTTGGAAGATCTTCTCACAAGAACGGTAGCGGATGCACGATCTGTCTTTTAGCGCCAGAGAAAACGTTCAGATTTCCAGTCTTTCGCTCTTGGCCACTCAGAACTCAGACAATTTGGTATGCTATCGTGATAGCGGCTTTCGTACGGGTCAAAAAATGGTACCATTCTTGAATTGGTTCTACCCTATTTAATACTTTTCTATTTATGTAATAGTCTAATAGATTCGTTTTTCAATATCATTTTTATCTTATATTTTTCATTTCATGGTATCTTATCTGAATATTGAAAAAATGGCTGAGGATGGTTAAACTACAGGCCAAAAATTAGTAAACTACCCTCTTGAAACAACAACCATTTCATTTGAGATTTGAGCCAAGTCCGAAAGCTCTTGGCACAAGATATTCAATGCTATTGAACCAAGAGAAAGGGCTATTTCCATAAGAAAAACTTCGCGATTTTTTTCAAGAGAATTAGGGATTTGGTTCAAGAGACTTCGCATTTGACCTATTCAAATCCGAAAATCTTTTGGCTGAATGTCAATCTCTTGGTTCAAAGGATTTCTTTTCTCAGTGTACAAACAAATATCTGCTGACAGCAGTGACAGCACTTCCATTTTCCGTTTGTTCGACAGAATTTAAACATGACATTTTCTTTAATTTTAAGAAAAAAAAGCGGCATTGACAACCTTGTCTCTGCTGGTTCCATGACGTCATCCTAAATATAACGTAAAAAACCTATACTTCGTTGCACGGCATGCAGGTTTTTACTTACGTCATCGATAACGTCATAACTTAGAGAAAAAGTTATTTCATAGATTAATTCATGGAGCACCTTCAGAATTATTGTATTTTTTAACTTAGAAGAGAATTTATTCAGTTATCCGAAAATATGTAAATAAAATTTCTCCTAGAGTGATTTTTCACTGGAAAATTTTCAAAATTTTCCCTCTGCTAGTTTTCTAGAAAAAAATTAAAATGTAAGAGGATGAATTTTGCTTAAATAAGTCAATTTTCCAGAATTTTTCCTGAAGTGATTTTTCACTGGAAAATTTTGAAATGTTGCTTTTTAATAAGATCCTCACTGTGACATATCTAGGAAGTTGCGTACAACAGCGCAACACTGCAGACAAAAAGATTACGTGGGAAGCAACACCACCAAGGAATGACAGTCGGTTTTGGGCCCCTACACGCTATGCGTACACGAAATAGTCGAAATACCACCTACCACTGAAAAGCTCCCGCTCGCGAAACTCAGCTCTAATGAAACTAATTTTAGTATTAACTAAGTTCTTAATAATATAGTTAAACAAAAGTAACGCGGCTAATCATTGAACCACTCGAAACACTTCAAATGGCGACGAGGAT